TAAGTGCAGTGAACTGCGAGCGTGCGTTAAGTCCGTGCGGGTAGCGTGAGTCGTGATAAAGAGCGGTAAACTGCGGTTATGCGAAACGTGCGGAGGTGCGAAAAGCTGCGAGCGATCAGCGCTTTTTCGAGCTTGAGACGCGCTTTTAAGGGGCTCGAGAGTCCCGTTAGAACAATTTTTCTCGGCCAATTGTCGCGTGCCGTGTCGCCGGTAGATAACGGGGCTTTCTCGCGGGAAAGCCCTATTGGCTAGCGGTGGCGTGCTATCGTGAACGGCACGTGGTCGCTAAAGCGGTTGCGGACAAGATTAATGTCGCGGATTGTTATTATAAACGTTCGCTGGCGGCCTCGAGCTTGTTTGTCTCGCAACCGACAAACAAACTCGAGGCTTTGCAAGAATATTCTCGAAGCTCACAATTTTTACATGCTGCGAGAGAATATTCTCTCGAATATTCGATGGTCTGCTCAAACACTAAAGAAGCACCTCGATTCGTGAGAGGCGAGGGGACTCACGCTAAAGAAGCACCCCGATTTGTGAGAGGCGAGGGGACTTACGCTAAAGAAGCACCCCGATTCGTGAGAGGCGAGGGGACTCGCGTTAAAGAAGCACCCCGATTCGTGAGAGGCGAGGGGGTCTCACGCTAAAGAAGCACCCCGATTCGTGAGAGGCGAGGGGACTCACGATAAACAAGCAGCCTATAATAAGGGGGTCTGAAATCGTACTGCAACCTCCATGTGGTAGACCTTGGAAACTACATTTATTGTAGGCTGATCGCAGACGTTTAAATGGACAATTGCATAGATTTCTTTTTAAGTTCGTTTTTAGTTCGGAAATTGTAACACTAGCATATTGGACAATACTTTAGAATAAATGACTTGGGCAATTATTAGGCATTATGCGATTCTGCAAACAATTCACAATTATTGCCGCTATATTGAACTTAATATTTTGAATTTCAAGTCATTAAAAAAATTTGGCCAGTTATTTAAGTATTCCTAGCCACACAATAAATCATAAGATCCTATTGCATACAGAGCGAGGCACTGTACAGCGCGCCACACGCCGCACGTGATGCGTTCAAGATATTCATTTTTTAAACTATGTACTACCACTCCGATCGTTTTTAAACTCGAACATGTTATTATAGAGTATTTAAAGATTTTTAAGGGAAAAATGGTGATAGTGCCTCAAGTGCATCCTATTAAAAAAAATCAAAAAGATTTTGAAAAATTTTTTCACCCGTATTTTTGAAAAAAATTCCATAATTTTTTTATAATTTTGAGGCATTGAAACCCATAACATATTTTTTTCATTAAAATCAGTTCAGCCGTTCTTAAGAAAAATTTTTTTTTCCATTTTTCTTCTTGCCCCCATAACTCCCATAAAAAATTTTTTCAGATATAATTTTCTGGGAACTTTAATCTCACATCAATGCCAACCTATTGTAAAAATCTCAACCAGATCACAGCGGGGGCAGCACATGTTTATCCTGCTACACCCTTTATAATCTTAAAATTTTAACCCACATAAAAATACATTATTAAACGGTAAGTAATTCAACATTTCATTAGTCGCTGTAACATAAAAATCTAAACACTTTAATTTTACTTCTTTTAGAAATTCTGGTGTTTGATTTTTCAAGAATACTTCGGGATCTGGACATATATTGACTCTAAAGGTAAGAACATATCCGATTTAGTTATATCTAAAGAAATATTATGCAAAGCTGTTGGTAAAAGAAAATTCTGTCCTATTTGCTTCAATAGATGTTCACTATTTGTAGCTAATTTGTGAATTAAAACTTCTCTAGATTGAAATAAAGCATTAAAACTATTAAAGAAATTTAACGAATATTTTAAAAATAACATATAAGCTTTGTTTCTATCATCATTAAAAAGATTAAAAATTACTTCTGCTGATTTAATGTTTGTTTCAGTGACTTCAAGAAAATAATAGTGTTTTAATACATCCCAATTGTCAAGAAATCTAACAACACGTTTCTGTAAAGTAAGCCATCTAGTTCCCGATAATTTCAATAATGTACGAGACTCTACACCAAAATATTCTTGAAATTCCCGTAGGTTTGCAGATCTTTTTGCACTGCCAGAAATATAAGTTGTAACTGATTGTAATAAATTTTCCCATGAATCCGGCAATTTTGCACAAGCTTTATTAGCAATAAGAGCTGAGGAATGGCAAATACATTTTAATATAATGAGGGCCGGTACCTCTTTCTTTAATCTACTTGCAAAAGAGTTATGATTTCCTATCATTACAGAAGCGTTATCTGAAGCCATTCCTACAATATTACTTAAAGGAATATTTTTATTTTTTAAACAATGCTTAAATGCAGAGTACAATTTCTCTGCAGAGCAATCGACTGCATCTAATTTAACTAATTGTAATAATTCTGTAATACATTGTTTCGGTAATATATTATTATCTGGTGAGACATATTTAACTAAAATGCATAGCATCTTTTCATTACTAATATTGGTACTTTCATCCACTAAAATTGAAAATTTTTGACTCTTTAAATTATTAATTGTTCTTTCATCTTCAACTTTTGCAATTACATTTTTCATAATTTTAACACATTTAGTCTGTGACAGTGTAAGATCTTTTATAACCGGGGAAGCACTACCAATTTCTTTTAACAGAGGAATAAGATGATCCATTATTTGAAAAGCAATATTGTGTTCACTAAAAAACGCGGTTAATTTTATTTCTGCAGATTTAATTTCATTAATATGATCTCTATTCTCTTTATGCAGGCAGCAGAAGGCATTGAAGCAAATGGGTTAATATTAATACGACTGTTCGCGATGTTATTTTTATGTTGGACCCTATGTGCGTGCCTAGTCAGCTCTGACTTACCGCTTATTAAAACTTTGTCACGTACTGTACAGTAGGCTTTCCCATTGTCCGGATGAGCGGTTAACCAGTCTTTTAATTCAGGGTACTCTAACCATGCAGTCTGAAAAGTTTTTATCTTCTGCTTCTTTCCTGTACCGCTTGTAGATGGTCGTGGGTGATCCATTTCAAAGTCTTTCTTCTTCTTCTTCTTCTTCTTGCACTGATGAGTATGTATACAGGGTGTACCTAAACTGGCGATAAATATTTTAATGACAAGTACTTTGTAACATTTTGAGACGAAAATTCTAATACGAAAAAGTCGAGGCTACAATAGTTTTCAAATGGGAACAGTTTAAACATCTCGAATAGTAAAGCTAGAATTTCGCGCGCTCAGGGATGGCAAAATGGCCAGTGATTAAAGTGCTTTCTTGAACCACACGTCTTTGACATTAATGAAATTAGTGTAAAAATGTATGCAAGAGTTTTATTAAGAAATTATTTCTGTTTATTTGCAATGAATTTTAGAAAAGTTTAAAATGTTTTTTTTCAATAGTTCAAATCGATATTGATTTGTGTCAACTGTCATCAGAATATCTATTTGGTTAAATTGCGACAAATTTCATCGCGGAGACTTACCAATTTACCGGAGAGCGGCGGGTGACGAGCGCGCGCGGCCCGCCACGCGCCCACCGAGCCCGGCCTACAGTCGGAAGCCTATTTCCGCGCGTTCATTCGCTTAGACGCAATAATTAATAACTCAATAACTATTGTAGATTTTGCATCATGGTATCTGATTTTTCTCTTCAGCTTGTCCTAATCTATCTAGATATTTAGGTTGAGAACAAACTTATCAGACACCCTGTATAAAGAAAAGTCCTATATGCTGGGAAAATTTCCTCAGAAGAAAATATGGATAGAGATTTCCCAACGTATGAAGAACGAAAAAATACAACTTTACAGTCAGCCAGTGTTATAATAAAATGGATACTCTATAAAGACGGTACCGTCAGATTGTCGACCATAACGCTCAAAGTGGAAATGACAGAAAAGAATGGATATATTTAGAGGTAATAAATTAAAACAACATTAATATTCGTAATTATGAAAATTTTTAAATATATTTATTAATGAGTAGTTTTACAATTAGAAATAGAAATGAGTGACAATTGTTTCTATAAAAATAATATTTGTATGTTTTAGCCATTAGATGAGATCTTTTACGACAAACCGTGGATAAAACCATTGTCTGTAGCAGGATCAAATATTCGAGAACCCGAAAAATCGTTATTTGATGATAATGAACACGAGCTACCATGCAGTAATAACTAAATCAGTACATTATTTTTTACTGTTATTTAAATTTATAACTAATTATACATTTTTCTAGAACAAAAGAAATTCTCATTAAATGAAGAAAAGGCTTATTATTTGCGACAGTCAGTGGAAGAAAACAGATTAAAGAGAGAAGAGACAGCTAATTATAGAGCAGAAAAGTTAAGAATTTTGAAAGAATTGAAAGAAGTTTTCCTATTGAAACAGTGATGTAAACATTCGATAAGTATACAGTAAAAGTACACATTAAGTATAAGTTTCTGTAAAAAGCAGAGATATATTGTTAGTATTCCGATATATATTATTATGTGTTGTAACGTGCCGTAAACAACGGGCACCTTCCCCACCGCGCACACTTTTCCCGGCACCGCTCCACCCCGCACCTACAAGCAAACAGTATATAAGAAACGGAATCTTCTACCGAGGAGACAGTTCCCGACCAGCGAGTTGAGCAGGTCCACCTACGGCGACGACGAGATGAGTCCGAGCCGCTTCCTAACCTCGCGTGCTGAGCGAGATACCGAACACCTTCCGATCACGACGCGTACTGAGCGTCATCCCGAGAACCGCGAGTTGAGCGGGAGATCCTCTCCGAACCGTGCCACGATTTGAGTGGCAATCCAATCCGAGGGCTAAAGCGAGCTGAGCGAAATCCTCGCCACGTGTTGAGTGGCTCGTACACACAACACCCGGCCCAACCCGTACATGCGAGTCGTCACCGGCAAGACGACATCGCACCGCGCCGACGCCGCACGCACCGAGTCGACGCCACGCGCACCGCGCCTGCGCCGCCCGCATCGTGCCACCGTACAGCGCCGGCTCCGAACGAACCGGACCGCGCGAGAACACACCGTACCGAAAGATATTACCGCACCGCCGTCGACCATATCAATTAATCCGGCGAACCGTCCCGCGTCACCGCGAAACAGTAATTATTGTCCGAAGCGCTAATGCGCCAGATCACACAGTCGAACCGCCGTCAGAACGGCGATTAAATTTTGCTTTCACCGGGGCAAAACCGCTTCCGAGACGCTTGCCTTGGTTAAGGAGGCTTACTAAGACGACGCCCTGTCAAGGGCTCAGGTTTTCCGGTGGTTCAGTGAGTTCAAGAACGGACGGGAGACCGTTGAAGACATGGAGCGATCTGGACGCCCTTCAACGAGTGGTTTGGACGAAAATG